GATACGTGTAGAATTTAGTCACAAAGTGTTTATGCATCACAACAAGGGGATTCAGTGGTTACATTGTTGAGAACAATCCAGTTTCCTGCCCCCCTAATGGCTAATGTTCCCATTAGGCAGAAACCAGGAAGAGATTATGGAGTTGGCACTGCTTGTTCATAAGAACATGCCAGTTACATTGACAAAGAAAGTCTACCTGTATTATAATGCCCTATCTACACTAGGCAAGTGATCTGTTGCTGACCACAGTTGTCACCACTGGTTTCCCCTCAACACACATCATGTGATATAAAAAAATGCAATTCAACCAGGCCTCTACAGTGCTTCTTGTAACAACATTAGAAATGGCATTGTCCCATCTACACTAGTAGCTTAATCATTGTAAACACCACTTGAGGGGAGGCCAAGGGACATGGGTGCCGCCGAAGTTGGGGTGAATGATGGAGACTTGTCCTCACTCCAGCATTTCTTCCTCACTGTGCAATGGTGTTTTCCTCCATATTCTGGTGAAGGGGAGACAGAGATCTCTACTATGGCTCGCTGGCTGGTGATTAGATTATTTTGCGGTCTCCTGACTAAACCATGACAGGGGGAATCCTGGTGTCTGAATCCCCAAGGTTTCTGATAACATTGTGGCTCACCAAGAATATATTTCTTGTAAGCCCCTATTCCCCAGCTAGTAACCCAGCCTCTTGGTCATGGAGCAGGAGATTGGCAGTACAATCTAAGTCAGGGGTGGGCAAACATTTTGACCTGAGGGCCACATCGTGGTTCTTCCCCACCCAGGTGTAGTGTATTAAATTGCTCCCCATAGGCATGTGCTACTTACGGCTGCCAGCCCTGGTGCTCTGAGCAGCATGGTAAGGGGGCGGGGAGCAGGGCAGTTGGACAAGGGCAGGGAGTCCCGGGGGGCAGTCAGGGGATGGGAGTGTGAATAGGGGTCCGGGCAGTCAGGGGAAGGGAGGGAGGTTGGATGGGGGTGGGGTCCTGGGGGCGGGGGCGGTTAGGGGCAGGGGGTCCTGGGAGGAGGCAGTCAGGGGACAAGGAGCAGGGGGGGTTGGATGGGTCAGGAGTTCTGAAGGGGGCAGTTGGGGCAGGAAGTGGGAGGGGGTGGATATGGGACAGGAGCCAGGCTGCTTGGGGAGGCACAGCCTTCCCTACCCAGGAATGTGCTACTTAGAGTGTACTACTTACAGCTGCCAGTCCTGGTGCTCCGTAAGTAGCACATTCCCACGGGGAGCAATTTAATACATTACACCCTGGCTGCTCTCACACGACGAGCTGAGGCTGCAGGGGAGGGGGAACAGCAGGGGAGGGGCCGGGGGCTAGCCTCTCTGGCTGGATGTGGCCTGAGGGCCGTAGTTTGCCCACCTCTGATCTAAGTATTTGCCATCACCCGTCTTCTTCCAGGCGGCAAGCGCCTAGAGACAGAGCTCACAGCTTTCTCCACCTCCACAGAACAACAGGAGGCCAATGTTACTTCAGATGATTCCCTCACCTGTCCACTCCAACTACTAAAAGACAGATAAAGATTGGTAAGGGGCAGGGGTACTTTAAGAAGGGAGTCACATGTGGCATTGGGGAGGGTGGGAGGGAATGCTGATGGAGGAATGTTTTGCTTCCAGGTCCTGGACTAGATGGAACTGGTTCCTTCAGAGCAGATGAGATTGATCTAGTATCACTTGCCTAGGCTGGTAAGCCTGTCCTTATATAAAGGCTTCTACTCAAGGTGAATCAAAGGGATAAAGCCAGGACATAATGAGAACCCCTCAGGAGGTGCCCTTCTCTTAGGGATCTAGGACATCTTGCATGTTTGTCCTTCATGAACATCTAATTGCCATAAGGCACACACACCTTTAATCCCTATATATTTAAACCAGATCTGCCATGATAAAATCAGGTTAGAATTGCACAATGGGGTGGACTAAACTACCTGCCTAAACACAAAAATCCCTACAAAAGCTATTTTTAATTTTTATATTAATTATAAACTACAAATTATCTAGCTAGCAAATTCATAGGAAAAAGAGGAGTGGCATGCTTCTCTTGCCTGGTCAGCTTAATCCTTTCTAATATCCCCAGGAACTGCAAAGACGAGTAAAGTGCTCAGATAGAAGAACTGATCCACTGAAAGCCGTACCCTAGAAATGAACTCCACTAATCAACTGCTCATGACTCCAACAGATGTTTCTGGTTTTCAGACAATTAGAACCTCATGCTCCTTTCTGCTTTCTTGCTCTGTTTTTTTCTTTTTCTTTTTCCTACCAGAAGCAAATGCCACTACACATCTGAAGCTTCAGAACTTGCCATGTGATATGGAAGACAAATGAAGCCAGTCAGCAATGTCAAAGTTTGAAGTGGTGGTCCATTGAAAGCACTGGGTCTTACAAGCCTGAGAAGTAGCACGTAAAGCGACTATGCTGTGGTTTTGTTGCAGATGCCAGTACTCTTGTGTGAAGTTTTGAAGCGTCAGATGAACTTGGATTAAAACTTCTTCTTTTCAAAGGCTGAATCATTTTAGGATGTGGAGCTAAAGTTAAATGATATTTTTGAGGATATGAGTATTATACTATGCAAACCACAGACAGGATAAGAATTGTTTACACAATATTATTATACAGTTACATATCTATTGAGATAGGTCTCAGTCATGATTTTTCAGAGGCAGCAGAAATATAAAGGCAAAGGAAATGTTTTACTTTGATTTATTTAGTTCTTTAAATTTGAATTGTCCCTTTCAGTTTTTTCTTATTGATGAGTGACAGATGGATACCCGATCAACCAATATTGTAAGAGAATCTGAGCAGGAAGAATGAAATGTAACCTCCCTAAAAGGATGTGGTACAATCTCATGCCACCAAAATCAAAACCAGCCAGTGGAAATGAAACACCTGTTGTAGCAGTACAATGAAGCAATGTAAAGCTCATAGCCACTGGAGACACATTTCTCTGGGAATGTACCAGTCATTTGCAAACTATCTTTCTGTTAGCAATGAGCAATTCCCCAAATACTCTCCCCTGCCCACAACTGACACACAGTCACTTGAAGCAGGAGCCATAGTTTATCAGGGATGAATGGGCCAGACCAGGAAGTTTATCAGTATTCACAACTCAATAGGCAAACACCAGGGGAGGATCACAACCAAATGTGGGACTTCATAACTAGCGCTTGTTGTTTCATACATCCCAAACAGAGTACATTAACCCACTGCTATGGCTGGGCTTGTTCGCTGTGATAAAGGCAAGTACAAACAGCAGACTGAGTTGGAAACAGTTTCATTGGGTGCGCGGTGAGAAAAACGAACTGACTTCCTCTCCTGGCAGTCTTAGAATATTAGGTGATGTTACCAAAGGCTGAGCAATGCCAACCGCACCGTAGGAAGAGGGCATTCTAGGCCAATGTATGTTTTTCTACAGTGCCCAGCTACACAGCTATCATTAAAGTGTGTCAGTATTTCTACTGTAAATGCACAGGGCCAGAACCTCAGCTGGTGTACATTAGAGCAGGTGAAGATCTGGCCCAGAGTGTGCGCTGTACAGTTGCCCTACATAAGGCCTTGTCACAGCTGCAGCCAAGCTGCTGGAATGCCCTCTTCTTTGGACTTCGTACTCCTCACTCCTCTGGGGCCAAATTTTGCCCCCTTGGCGCTGCTTGCATGTATCTGAGAGCAGAATTTGCCCTTTGGTATTTTTAAAGAGAGAATGAAATTATTTCTTTTTCTAATTGTTTCTGATTAGATATTGTATGTTGGGTTTATGTTGTGCACGGCCCTTAAACACTGGCTGGGTGCCATTTACAGTGGAGGGTTATCCACTAGGCCAACGGGGCCATGCCCAGGGGCCCTGGCCAATGGGGGGCGCTGGAAAAATGGGCTCCCTGCGCCCTGACCCACTCCACCTGCCCGCCTGGTGCTCCTGCCAGAGAGCCCCGACCCCACTCTCCAGCAGGAACAGCAGGTAGGCGGAGCGGAGCAAGCCCCGGCGCTGCGACTCCATTTCCCTGGCAGTAGAGGCTCAGGGAGGGAGGGTGGATGGGGGGTGGTGGACTGGAGGCAGAAGGGGAGAGGGGCCCCCACTTGCTCCAGCCCAGGGCCCCACAAAATAGTAATCCGCCTCTGGACACATAGTGCAATCAATAACCCCTAACAATGCTTCTCTTGGGCAAATGGAACATCTTCAAGCCCAACCCAGTTTCCTCACCCTGCACTTACCAACTCAGCTGTCTAGTTTGTCCCCACTGCTTTTAAAGTTGGTGCCGCCTTTAACCCTGAATTCCTTCTTCATCCGCCCATCAACTCTGCCTATTGCATTCCCCACAACACTGCCTGGGTGAATGCCATTGATTTCAAGGGAGCCAACGCCGCTTGCATGTCAGTGCTTCATCATTGCCTCTGCTAAACCTGCCACCCTTGCTTTCATCTCCTCTCACGTTCATTATTGTGATTCCTTTCTCCATGGCCTCCTAGCGATGCGTGCCAATCTTCTGAACACCACTGCCTTCATTCTAGCCATTCAGAGATGCGGGCCTGCATCAACATGATCATCACCCCCAACATCTGATTCAAAACTGATTTTCCTTTGTCAAGGTCATTTTGAATTCTAATCCTGTCCTTCAAAGTGCTTCAACCCCTCCCAGCTTGGTGTCATCCACAAATTTTAAAATGGAGTGGAGGGCATGCTTATAAAGGATGACACCAAGGTAGCAATCCTTTGAAGGACAGGATTAGAATTCAAAACAACTTTGATGAATTAGAGAATTGGTCTGAAACCAACAAGATGAAATTCAATAGAGACAAGTGCATAGTCCTTACACTTTGGATGGAAAACAAAATCAAATGGACAACTACAAAAGGGGGAATAGCTGGTTAGGTGGTAGTACTGCTGAAAAGGATCAGGGGGGTATAGTGGATCACAAACTGAATCTGAGCCAACAATGTGATGCAGTTGCAAAAAAGGCTAATATCATTTGGGGGGTTATTCACAGAAATGTCATATGTAAGACCTGGGAGGTAATTGTCCCACTCTGCTTGGCACTGGTGAGGCCTCAGCAGGAGTACTGTGTCCTTTGAAAAGAGGTGGACAAATCAAAGAAAGTCCAGGGGAGAGTTACAAAAATGATAAAAGGTTTAGAAAACCTGACCTGGGAGGAAAGGTGAAATTTTTTTGGCATGTTTAGTCTTGAGAAAAGAAGAGTGAGAGGGAACCCGATAACAGTCTCCTTTATGTTAAGGGCTTTTATAAACAGTGATCAGTTGTTCTCCATGTCCACTGAAGGCAGGACAAGAAGTAGTCAGTTTAATCTGCAGCAGTGGAGATTTCGGTCTGATATTAGGAAAGGCTTTCTAACGCTAAAGATAGTTTTGCTCTGGACTAGGCTTCGCAGGGAAGATGTGGAATCCTCATTAGAGGCTTTAAAGAAGAGATTAGACCATAGGTGCTGGAACTGGTGGTGCTGCCGCACCCACTGGCTTGAAGTGGTTTCCATCATGTACAGGACTTACAGTTTGGCTCTCAGAACCCCCACTATACAGATTGTTCCAGCCCCCCTGGGTTAGACAAATGTCTGCCAGGGATAGTCCCAGTATATGTGATCCTGCCTCAGAGCATGGGGCTGGAATAGGTGACTGCTCAAGGTTCCTTCCAGCCCTACATTTCAATGATTCTTGTTTTTAAAACACTCCATGGACTTGCTGATGCAAACTTCACAGACGTTGTCCCTTCTGCTTCTGCTGCTCTAGGACCAGCCTCAATCTACTACCCTGACACATAATCCTGCCAACCTTCCTGTGAGAAGCTCCTCTTCTGCAGCTCCTGTTGTTTGGAGCAGCCTTACCTGATTGACTATGGGTACGTCTACACTGCAGCTGGAGCGTGGGTAGACAGATTAGCACTAGCTCTGCTTGAGCTAGCAAGCTAAAAGTAGCAGTATAGGGGGGTAGCACAGTTGGGGGTCCGGGCAGGTTTGTATTGATGCCTGTGCTACCCCTGGCTACGAGGCTATTTTTAGTGCACTAGCTTGAGCTAGTGGGTTTCTGGCAGGGGCGACTCTACGTATTTTGCCGCCCCAAGCACGGCAGTCAGGCGGCTTTCAGCGGCACGCCTGTGGGAGGTCCGCTGGTAACGCGGATTTGGCGGCCTGCCTGCGGGAGATCCGCCGGTCCCGCGCCTTCCGTGTACCCGCCGCCGAACTGCCGCCGAAGCCGCAGGACTGGCTGACTTCCCGCAGGCATGCCGCCGAAAGCCGCTTGCCTGCTGCCCTCGCAGCCAGGTCCGGCACCAGGCAACCAAGCACATGCTTGGGGCGGCACCTGGT